AGAAAGCTAATTTGAGCGCTTTTTCTTTACCTGTTCCGAACATTTGTCTTTAGATATGACCTACTTGTTCAAAATTAATAAAAATACTATGTCCGCTTTGATGATCATTCATGTCGAGAGTGATTCTTCTGTACAAAGTACTCATTACAAAGCGATTTTTCGCAGTGGGTTATCAAAACCTTCCCGTTGGGCTGAGTAGATTGCATTTGTTCATCTTTTGATTTGAAATTTATACTTGCCGACATATTTTTTGCATTGTGATAATTTACACATGGAAGATAATTGACCAACAACAAATTATTCACAACAACGTTATATTAGCTTAAAATTAATAATTATTTCCATTGTAAATGCTCAAAGTTTTGCTTTCCTATGACAAATTTTCAGTTGCGGTTATTTTAAATTTAATAATAACTTTGAAATTGTTGCGTGTAATTTTTCTCCTTGCTGAAAGGCTCTACGATTCTTTAGTTTTTTTCCATTTCTTCAGCCAATAAATGTTGGTACCATTGCATTGTTATCTCATTTCCAATCTATATTCTTCGGAAGAACTTTTCCCACATCTATTCAAATCTGCCATCGTTCATCAGCATTTGTCATCAGTTCGTCGAAATCTGTCAATTCCAGTGAAACCGCAAGACATTTTTTCGTATCCTGGGTCGCAGACAATGCCTAAATTCACCCTATTAATCAGACGAAGGCCATGCCGATCATTTCGACGAACAGCTCAAGCACACACCTCCGAATTACGGTCTCGATACTTTCCGCCAGTCACTGCTGGTGGAATAAAGTCCTTGTATGAGCATGAGGGTTCAATTATTGTACGAGGAAGTTGACATGTTTGAAGGAATTCTTGTGTGTTCACGTCACAGGTCTCATCTGTGAAGCGATATGACAAACTGACGTTACAGATCGGAAAACAGAATTATTTTAATTTTCGAAGATGCAGTTTGATTCATGAATTTTTATAGTATGCCCTGGTTCCAATTCATACAAATTTTTCGTGTTTTTTATTTGAGAACGTTTTTTTTTTTTCATTGATTAAACAGTACGAATCATATGGTTTCATTACCTTAAAATATAGTTGGCAGCAAATCAATTAACAACTAAAGGCTCGCTTGGGTCATAAATATATATTTTTTTAATTCAAAGTAAGTGGAAAAAATCCTTAGCTTGCCAAAACATTTGCGAACTATTTTCATAAATATTCAAGAAATAACTTACCTTGTAGTTGTAGTCTGTCCGTTATTTTTGCAGAAAAGCAAGCACACAAGAACTAAAAGCCACTTTGTACTCCAGATACATATCGGATAAAATGTGAAATAAATTATATATTCTTTTTATAGTTCATATACTACAATATTGGTGTATTTACATTCGAAGGTTATCTTGCAGTAATTGTTTTTAACTGAACTAGAAACTTTGATAGACAGTATTCTTTCAAATGAATTCTAAACTATTTTCTGACATTTTTTTCTATTTTTGGGCTTGTTATCAACTGATTTTTATGGCTCATGATAGCCAGAGAAATTTAATCGACTCTGTCATGCATCGATGTTTAATTATTCAGTGAATCATCGTTTCATGCATTCGAGGAGGGCCATTTATTATCATTAGCGTTAGCAACTTTAATCTTCAATCAATAACAAAATTTTTTTCTAGATTAAATTTTCATATCATAAATTTCAGGAGAATATATTACTTCATTTTTGAGCAAAGTTTCTGTCTAAGTTTCAATCATGCGGGCAAGGCCGTACAATAAGTACATCGCTCCACTATGTAATAGTGATCTCACAAAGATTTCACGTTCAAATAATGGCAACTCGTCAAACCTCTTGCAGGTGATAACTAAGTAATACGCTCCGACCTAAACTTCGTCAGATGTGTTTGGGGAATGGAAATTTATTTATTTTAAAGTGTCCAATTATATTGTCGATTGGTGGGTTCAATGGATGAAGAAAATAAACTCTAAAAATATTTCCTTACAGCCAGTTGACAAATGTTGATAGCATAGTTTACAATATTTCGCAAAATGTAATCAAACACGACGTAAAAGTTGCGCGTTTAAATGCTTATAATGTATTTTAACATTAATCGTTTAAATAGGTAATTTTAGTCTTTGCACCTCATGAACGGATGTTTTTTCGCAAGCGCGTTCAAGAATTTCAAACTCTGATATAATAATATCGTCATTTTCGCACACACACAACTCTAACTTTTACCGACAAACATCGTGATCGCTTGCCAATATATAAAGTGGAAGGTCAACCAACGATTAGGGTTTCGAGGGAGTGGTCGTATGTGAGGTCATAGATCGGCAAACCTTACTTGAACAACAACAATCTTGAAGAGACTATGATCCACCATCATTAATCTTTGTATCTCCGTGACTGTTCTAATTCTTGTGTAATTTTCGGAACTCGGAACAGAAGGTCTTTTGCGATACAACAATCTCATTTTCTAATAGTAAGCTTGCGTCATGTTTGGCAAAATATCCCTCTCACTGATAATACATCTTTTTGAATTAGAATAAGATCTCTCAGCGTGTTTATTTTTTGTCTATGAAACGTGTATCAATCTCCAAGATTCTTTTTTCTACATGCAGCGATAGATTTAACAATATTAATATCAAAACTATAACGAACGTTACATCCTCTTGACGTGCTCATTACCCGCGCATTGCGTTTCCTATATATAGGTACTTTAATTTTTCATTGAGAGTCAGGGGCAATGTTTCAATTTTATTCCGTTTATTTCTACGGTTTTTGATTAGCCTGCTCGTTCGTAAAATTCAATTTTTCGATCTTAGTGCTGGGAAAATAAAAAGTTACAACTTGAATTTAAATATTCCAGCATGACTTTGGTGCATCAAATTACCAAATAAAATCTCAATTAGTAATAAAACATCGGGAAAATTTAATCACATAATTTTACTCGACGATAGTTGTTCCTTGATAATTATAGTGAATTTACACTTTCTCGATTTTCATTCCGTAGAACACTATCTCAATTTTAAATTTAACTCCCTTAAATGTCGATAGTCATGAAATAGTAGTTTCCTTACCAAGAAGAACCTATACCATAGAAATACAGAAATACATAGAAGAATTAGCACGAGAGTTCATCTGTGAATCACACACTAAATAGCACAAAGCCCATATTCCAATAAACAGCAGGTCACAAACAGAGAAAGCGATGATTTCCCAGTACCATATAAAATTTGCTGGCCTTTAAGCACAAATTCAACGCGCCGATGCCTTCGCTGCAACATCATTGGCCGGTGCCTGGCGGTAACCTCCTCGCTTCCCGTCTGGCCCGACAAAACAAACGAATTTTTTGGGTGTTTTATCATGCGAAGCGGCGCTTCCTACAACGAGTGTCAAATCCTTTGAACAAAAAATTGTGTTTGGAAGTTCATGCAGTCGTCTATACATATAGTTTTTTAATTAAGCCCTAATTGACCAAGGCCTATCAGCAATGAATAATGGAAATATATAACAAAAATATCAGATTATATGTGTTTTGTTTAATTCTATTCGCTGCATGAATAGTTTTTTTCACAGAATAACCAACCACCATAACTTTGCATTTTATTTTTATGGGATGTTTTCTAATTGAGAACTCTGTGCTGACCGACCATTTTTTTTCCGCCAGGTCCAGACTGGAAACGCATGATAATAAATCTACTTCAAAATAGCTAACGTTCATTTCTTCCGCGTATATTCTGAGCGCCTGAAACTCCAATATTCCAAATTCATTTCATCGATATAAGTTCAAACCCATCCACTTCACTCGCTCAGTAACACAGATAATTACAAGAAACAACGCTCACAGAAACCCAGACCTTAATTGGAACATCCGATCGATCTTTTGATGCGGAATGCCTTTCTCTGAACATAGCGCTAAAGATTCCGAGATATCAAGCGAACGCTTGAGCCGACAATAGTGTAATGGAGAGAATTTCCATAGGGCATAGCTCATTCTGCTTTAATTATGGATGATAAACATTTGTTAAACCCTACGCGTGTTTCTCTGACCTTACTTTGAGCGTACCAGTCGATCCTATCAATGTAGAAGTCATTTCAAGGACGAAACACTGCATTCGCTGCTTCAAAAATGGTTTGGAGCTCTGTTATGAAGAATAATGACCTAATGCAATCCTTACCTGCTATTAAGATATTGAAGTGATATCTCAATCGAACACAAGGGATACTTATATGCGCACTGTTTTTTTATAATTTATGAGCGTACAAATCCTTACGATCACATTCTAAGACCCAAGTTCAACATATTTTTTATGACATTAAGACTCGATGTTCTGCTAGTCCAGCCACAACATGCCAGATGGCGGTGAATTGTAGTTCAATTTGATTGTGATAATTTATTTTAACTTATCTTTGACTCATTCAAATTATGTCATTAAAAGACATAAAAGGAAACGAACTGCGAACATATCCATTGTTTCCTCTCGACCAGTGCGCCCGTAATACACATTGCTACAAAACCGTTAAAAATAGGCATTGAAGAAGACTTGAGAGCAGTGAAATTAAAAAACGTAAAATTTTAATGATGAAATTCCTGGGAAAGATCAGTCATTTTATCAAAGAATCTGAGACGAATTTTTACCTGGGTTGCAACAATTTACATAAAATTATTAATTTTTTGCCGATTAATACCTTAATGTGCGTACCACGCAACAGGTCATGCAAATAATTTAATCTGCGTAAAAATTAACCCACCCCGAATAAAAACAATCTTATACGAAAATAATTAAAATATATGATCAATCAAAATTTTACTCCAACTTTAACCGATTTTACCTGCACTGAGTGATTCCTATTACAAGTGTTATTTATTTGTTTTCAACAAAACTTACAGCGCTTTGAATATCTTCCTCCTGGATATTTTACTAAGAATGTAAATTTTTACTGTATCTCACACATGATACTTGCTTCATTTATTATTCGTAATGCGTAACTGATTGATGCGACATGTTGCAGGCGCATGACGGCTCTACTCTGTCTTCTTGCTGTTGTTTTATGCGACTCTTCAGAAAAAGACGAGCTTCGTAAAGTCGAAGACGACGATGATGGCTCGCCTGTAAAACGTCATGAAGGTGACGATGCGTCTCGTAATACACGACACGTCTTCCCGCTGAGCCGTGTTGACGGTCCCACTTTTGCGCGAGGTCTTGCATATCAGAATCCCACTCCGTCCTTTTCTGGAATAACTTCGTTCAACCAACATTTCAAGTGAGTCTAATAATTTCTGACTTATTCTATGAAGCTCCTATTAATTAAAGTTGATAAATATATTTTTCTTTTTTTACAAAGCTTTTCAGATCAGTTTTGTATGTTTTTTTCGGTACTCGAATATAAATTATCATTGAGAGTTAGGCAGATTGACCAACTGTTGTTTTGTTGTATAGAATGTTCAGGAAAATGTTTTCATTAATTACTGAATTTACATTAATTTTCCTCTTCATGAATGTTTTTCACGCATGCTGCCTGAAATAATATTTCAGTTTACGACAAATAAATTATATGAATACTAGAAAATAATATAATATAAAATTATTAATGTTATTCCAGTTAGCAAATATGGCTGATGCACAACTCACATCACAATTCATTTAACCAAGCACGCGATTTTGATCTTGACATGAAATGCTCTGAGAAGCCAAATTACAACTTTAAATTTATTGTAAATTTAAATTTATTGCATATTTAAATTTTCCGTGAATTTAATTTTAGTGTAAATTTAAATTTATTGTAAATTTAAATTTAACCTATTTAAATTATTCAATCGTAAAAAATCATCAATTCATGCGCTCGCGATAGCTTCTTCTGTTAATTATAAGACCTTTTACTCCAACATAAGTTATAAATCTTAATTTGAAATAAAACGAGACATCGTAATTTTGCCGATCTCTTTCCTTATTCAACTTTCATGAGGAGAAATGCACCAAACTATAAATAAAATGACGCAACATGTTTGGCAATGCTCAGATTTTTATCAATAGAAGAGATTTATTGACCAATTCTATCGCAATTTTTTTGCTACAACATGAGTTGGAGTTCGAAGCATTGAAAGTTTGTTCGACCATGAACGCCCTAAATAGAGCATTGCATCAGCAATGAATCGGCAGTTTGCATTCATAAGCTTGATTAAACTTTACAACAATCATTCGTCTAATCGGATATCGTTCTCTGAGTTTTTAATGGAAAGAGATGCTTAAGTCATTAATTCGTTTCTGATATCGCCTCGGAAACTATTTTCGTCTTCTATTTCTTCTCTATACGGATAGAGATCTTTTCTAATAAGCTAAACCTTAATATAAGAGACAACTTGGCAAAGAACATATTCGAATAAGCACTTACACCAGCATAAATTTGTTCACTTGCAAATTTTTGTTAAATTATTCCTTCATAGAACTTATCCATGAACTCTTTCTTTATTATCTTTTAACTTGGTGCTGTATTTGTCACCAAATATTATACTATTAATTCAAAACGCAGTAATATTTTCCATATAACAACAATCTTGAAGGAACAATGACGTTCAGTATTAGTAAAAGCATTGCAATTCTTCCCCAAGTCGGCCGGTGGTGTTCCCGCCACACTCCCCATCGGCACACCTCACGTCATACTCGCCTTTCTCCGCTACTCCAACCATCCTACCAACGTCTCCACTGCAGCACGCCAACTCTGGCGTCTCAAACTTCCTAGGTTCAAACGTAAGTTCTATATTATAATGAGTCGTGTGTATAATTTGTTTGTGAAAATGTAAAAACTCTATTTTGTAACGCGTGTTGTGCATTTAGTCAGTTGAAAAGACCTCAATTGTCATTTGAAAGTTTTATTTCAACAGTATTCCGTTAAGTTCGACTCTGATAAAGTAACATTATTCGAATTTAAGCACAATATTTGAAAAATTTTATTGATCGGTCAGCGGCAATTGCTTAGTGCATACAAGTTATGATGTCAGAATCTACGTCAACTGGGCCCGAATAGCCTTCAATGTTTGAATCATGTAAATATGTTTATATTTCATAAATTAATATTGTTTCTTGTATACAAACCGCAACGCTTAACCCTGTTGCAGGGTGGTTACTCATCCCGCGGTCAAGCGACCATCCGCCAGCTACACCCCGTCACGACGCTACACAACGTCGCCCCGGTCGTCGGTCATAACAGACTGGACTTCCCTGAAGCTGAGAAAACCGAGCACCACCAAGGTAATACCCCTAATTTTTTGCTTTTCTTAGGAATAGTAATTAATATTGACGAATAATTAGAGATGTCTGAATGTTAGAGATACTGGAAGTTTGGTAACGATTAATGTTACAGATGTCTTAATGTTAGGTTACGAATCAATTGAACTATGCAATACTGTATATTCTATAACCTTTACCGTAAACGGTACAAGACATATAGGTCGCCACTCAACAGCTACTACACTTAACTCGCCACCCGCAAAAAAAAACTTTATAATACTGGTTAGAATGCGATTTGTGGACAAAATATTTAAACAGCCATTTCGATCGTGCAAGTGCATTGTGGCTTATTTATTTTTACAGAATTATGAATTTAGATCGTTTCTCTTGAAGTCCAGTAACTTTAGTGCTGATACGTCGTTAGTTGCATTGACGGTTAATTGTAGACTTGCTACATTGGTTATGAATTCATCAATGTTAATTAGTATGTGGATCCGATGAGAATAATTTCAAGCTCATTGTCGTTAACTGAAACTTAAATCGTCGTCACTTTAATGCACAAATTGACGTAACCTTTAGATCTAAATATTAAAATCTAGTCGCATTCTACATCATGCACTGAAGTTTCCATGTTGTTTTCCTACATGAATTATATTACTGAGTTCCTGATTACATGCCTACGACAATGAATAATAAAAAGTCCGATGACTATTAGGTGTCGGCAGCAGCTGCCGCGGCCACACTACGTGCAGCCCCCTGGTGTCGTGTGCTGCTTGCTTCTCAGAACTCGACCCTTACGACAAGTGTGAACTTGAAGATGGACACTTCGGTGTCTGCTGTCCTCCTTCACCCTCACCTAACGGTACTTCTCACCTTTCCCTGTAGATGTCTTGGTGTTTTTACTTCTTTTGCCCCGTCCATTTATATAAGTATTATATATTTTGTGGATTTCACGTTAATATTGCATATTGTTATTTTCATATAAACCTGTGGTTTTTTATATCAAGTTTGATGCTATCTGAATATACGAATATTTCCTTCAAAACATATTTCTTATCAGCTTTAAAATTAATTAGTTAAATTTAACTCTGATAATATCTTTGATGACATAAATTATGCAATCCTGATTAAATGAAATACTGGAATGTATCGGATAAAGTTCAATACGATAACCGGCAAACTCGAGATACGCCCAGTGATGATACTATATTGGACTCGTAGTACTACCGGTACTTCAAATTTATGCCATTCTAATGATTCTATACACATAATTTATCTGATCATATTTCTTTTTCTTGATGAAAAATAATTCCGAAACTCTCTCGATCATCTCGTCAGCCCCGAATCGACGAGTGTTTGCAGTCCCAAATATTTTCGTGAAGACCCCCGACATTTCACTCTACCAACTAAATGAAGCTGCCAAAGCCGGTCTTTGGGAAGTGGCCGAGCGAGACAAACTAGAACAGGTTTGAAGTTTCTAGATGAATATTAATGTGTAATCTGCAATATTCCGTAACTGATATTTGTGCTCAATTTCATCAGGCTACCGGATTTTTCCTCATAGTAATCTACTACAAAAAATTTTATTTCGAACGGTTTGGTTTCGTGATTGAGGAGAGCCGATGCAATTACAGCCGATGTTGAGAAAGTCGACATTCAATAAAGTCCAACATTCAGCTGCATACCTATATCACAACCTACCATTATGCAATCTGAATCGTGTTTTAACCGAATCTATTAACAATCTATATACACATTTTTTTGTATCATGCGACGAACCCTTGACAAATGACACAACGTGGTTTACAAAAATTATATTATAAGTTAACTTCCATCATTCGAGTAACTGTTTCTAATTTTACTCTGGCGACTATAAACCTACCTTTTATTATCATCTATTATTATTGCGGTTTGTCTCCAGGTTCTGCGAACTCAAGATATCGTAGTCAGTAACCCCAAATCGCCCGAGTATCGGCACCTGCAGTTCTTCAAAACGTCGCCTCGCGCCATGAAGTTCGGTCGTGCGGCAATCACAGTCGAGCGATCCACAGTATTTCTTATGAAAAAGTAAGCTCCCAAGCTATCTGATTTGTTATAAATAAATTATAATGCACGTTGAAGTAAAAAGCTTTTACTGTGGAAGAACGTAGGCTATGGTGTAACCACATTAACAACGTTCAAAACCATTTCGGATTGTGAAAAAAATGCGTTTGGCGGATTTAAGATTCGCAAATATCAAACGAGTTTTCATGTAAATTGTTATTATTATTCGATGGACGAATGAAAACACTTTATATGACATTCAATCGATGCGCTGATATATATGTAGTTAGTGTATGTAAGAGCAGGAATTCCAATTAAAAGACAGATGGAATTTTCTTACAATAATTTTTGTCTTGATCGAGTCTGCCTTCCTCAATTCAAAAACCACTGTCATTCATAAATACTATACATAAGTGGATCTTGTGATATATCTTCTTCAGGTTTTACCTAACTTCCCTGCAAGCGGGCTACGGTCTGCGCCGCTTCTCAGTACGGGATACTATTTTGAGCGACACTTGTCCCGAGGAGCCGTACTGCGGAGAGAAGGAGGAATACTACCGCACCATCGATGGCTCCTGCAACAACATCCGCAACCCGAGATGGGGTCAAGCCAAGACCGCGCTGAACAGGATCCTTCCTGCACATTATGAGGATGGTTAGTATTGGGCTATTGTACTTACTACATTACCGTGCACGTGGTCTTAGCGGTGCTATTGAGACTATGAAGATTATTGGTACGGACTAACTGGTGTGCTTTCTTAAGAAGATTAACATGTTAGCACGGGACTTGTAAACACAGTCAGCATAAACAGTTAGACGATGGTAGATCTCCGTAATTTCCGGCTGTACAACATGAGATTGAATGTAAAAAGTGGCGGGTGTCGGAACAACACTGTTCCACCATTAGTGTATCATGATGATATTGCGATTAAAATTCCTATTATTTAGAAGTAAAATTCGAGGTTAAAACTTCAATTCTCTAAGGGGTGTTCGAGCCGCGTGGAGGAATCTCGGGTCGTCAGTTACCGTCTGCCCGCGTGGTGAGCATCAGCAACGTGGCTGACGTGGACATGCCTGACCCTGAACTGACACTGTCAGTCATGCAGATGGGTCAATTCATCGACCACGACCTTACGTCTGTGCCCATCTTTAGGTTCGGTAAGTGCAAAGGTCAAGATAGGATTCGACGCATGATTTTTCCTGCGATTCCAAAAATTCGAAAATGTATGCCATAGAAGTTATAGATCTCGCAAAAGCTTTCATGACATAACACAGATTATTCGTATCATATAAAAGAGAAACACTATTTTTTAATTTCGTCCACTATTGACTTCTTTAAGAGGTTTTGGCTTGTGGGAAATATTCGAGGATGCCAGCAAAATCAAGCGACGGCCATAATTTTGCAAATCCCATACGTTTCCAAAACGCCCCTGAACAAAATAGAAATATTTATCAATAATCATATGTAGCACCTGATCCCGAACTTATTTTGTGTTCGTTACTTGCACCTACAACAAATTTTTTGATAATTCACTTGTCTGTGTAAAGCTGTGTAAGGCACGTTAGAAATGATGTTGATTTATTTTGTCAGGCAACGAGAGCGGTATTCAGTGCTGCAACGACGGTGCCTTTGTGGATCCTTCAATGACTCATCCCGCCTGCTTCCCCGTTGAAATCCCCACTGACGATCCTTTCTTCTCGCGCTTCGGGAGACGCTGCATGAACTTCGTACGCTCCATGCCAACACAGAACGAAAACTGCACATTTGGCTCAGCTCAACAGGTACAAATTGTGTCTCTTCCTAACTCTCAGCATCTTTCTCCACTACATTCCCGCTGACCATTTTACCTTCTCCAATGATATTCCAGTTAACTACCTCTCTTTCAGCTGTTTTATAATGATAGTAGATAATAACTCTTCCACTAACATCTTCCAGCCGCTGCAAGCCCTTTTGAATATTATTTCGGCAGACACGATATCCTTCTCCTCAAAATCAAATCAACTTCCTCTTAATCGGCATCTCGGCCGATAATCAATCCATAATTATGGATCTTAGGAGATTTCAACTGAAGATACAATCTTTGAACGGGTAGACTAACCGCTGATCAGGAGATATAATTGTGCTATCGAAAATCAGAGAATTTCGAAAAATTTTATAGTTATTTGAGATTGATCGTACCTTCCTCACTCATTCTTATTCTCGCCATGTCTATTAAATTCGTGTTCTTGTTTGCCATTAACAAAATTTTCTTTAAACTACGTTAATTGGTATAAAAACCAATACTCATCTGAATCAAGCTGCCTGTTTTGATCTTTCCGACAATTTTCGTACTTACACGTTCCTCCCGCAGATGAACCAAATCACTCATTTTCTGGATGGGTCCAACGTGTACGCCTCGAGTGTGGAAGACGAGCGCAGCATCAGGGCAGGCCGGGGCGGCCTCCTCAATGTCCAAGGTCCAGCCTTGCTCCCTGCCGACCCAAGCGCCTCCGAGAATTCGTGCGACGCCCTCAACCGTGGCTTCGACTGCTTCTTGGCAGGTAAAATAAACCTTTTTTTAGCGTGACTCGCTATTTAGTGACTCGCTAAAGGTTAGTGGTTTAGTGACTCGCTAAAGATTACGTCGCTATTTTCATTCGTTCATCTATAAGAAGAAAAATATAAATGTTATTAAATAATTCCTTTTTCTTTCCAACTGAAGTAAATCATCTATGAAATACTTCTGATATTGAAATAAATTAGCACCATTCACCAAGATTCACTTTAATACATCCAAAACCAATTCAAATGATGAATGTTTACTCATCTGGTAGTATAAAGACTAAAAGAATGGGTCTGAAAAAATGTATCCCATCCCTTGGTAGATGAAATAAAAAATTATGAAAACTATATACAGCAGGTATCAGTATTAACCCTTATCAACAAGATTAATTACAGTTAAAAAAATGAGATACAAAGCGAAATTACAGTTCTGCTCGTGTTCAATCATGTACTATAGCAATCCCTCTAAAAATTAGTTCTCAAGTATGCCCAACAAGAGTTGGCGGCTCACATCGAATGAGAAGGTAAGGATTACAGCCAATTTCTTCTCCTTTTATAACACCAGACTTTCATTTATAATTTTCTATATTAATATAAATTTTGTTCATCTTTGTATGTATTCTTGCAGGAGATAATCGCGTGAACGAGCAGCCAGACCTCGCTGTTATTCACACCATTTTTATGCGAGAGCACAACCGTCTGGCGCTGCAGCTGGCCAAAATCAACCCTCAGTGGGACGACGAAACTCTGTATCAAGAGGCACGGCGCATCAACGTCGCACAAATGCAGCACATCATCTACAACGAGTGGCTGCCCATCATCCTCGGTTTGAATAATGATTTAAACTACGTTATGAATGAATAAAAATGTTTTGAATGAAAAAAAAGTTTTGAATGAATAAAAATGTTTTGAATGAAAAAAAATGTTTTGAATGAATAAAAATGTTTGAAGTAATAAAAATGTTTTGAATGAATAAAAAAAATTTGAAACAAGTTTAATGACAGGACATTAGAATTATGAACATCTTTAAAAATTTCTAGTAATTCGCAATATCAAGTCCTTTCTTGAGCTGTGATACCCTGCGTCAATTCATTGTAACGTTATTTTCCAAAATATAATAAAAGCTACGACGACATTTTTTGGATAATGGCAGTCATTTCTAGCATCGATGATTGATTCTGTACTTGAATTCCTGAATTCCATCAAGTACACTAATGTTCGACAGTCCAACACACAATTGTCTTGTAACACACAATTGTCTTGTAACACACAATTGTCTTGTAACATTTCTTCAAAAGCAATTATTAAAATTTCTTTGATTTGACTGAAAAAAATAACCGGCCGTGTCATAAAATGTGTCGTCAAATAATCTTGCAATTTTTTCGTGTGAAACTGCATCGTTTTCTGCCCCCTAGTAATTGTTATATGAAGTCTTCAAATACTTGCGTATTGAAGTCTTCAAATACTCATATATGCTCTTAACTGAGTATTAAGCCATATATAAGAATTTTTTCGCATTAGGTTTTATAAATTTTGTACATATAAATCTTTCGCAATGTGCAGGCAAGGACTGCATGGTGAACAACCTGATGTTGCCGCGACCCGACGGTTTCTCGCGCGACTACGACCCTAACGTCAACGCCGCCATCAGAAACGAGTTCGCCGCGGCTGCCTTCAGATTCGGACACACTCTTGTACAGGGCATGTTCCAGTAAGCCACTCTATCTCCAGCCTGATTTATATTCGTTAATTTCTTTTATCGCTACCTGCAGTCTAAGTAATTTTCGTAGATTTTTTTCTTCAACAGGCTATTGATATTTTCAACACTACTTGTATATTGACCTGGATTTTCCTAACCCAAGCTTCAGCTATATGAGCTCATATTATTATTATACAAATAAACGAAATTCTTAGGCTATTTCCACAAATTGCTTTCAGCCCTGCAGTCATTGATGTCGTTCTAAAGAAATTGGCGTCAATAAATAGAATTAGACACATTTTTTATAGGCTTACTAAAATTTCACGTTAACCTAAAGAAGTCAACTTAATAGGCGAAAACTACTATCTAGCGGGTATGGGAGGTTGTTTACTTACTGACTTTTTTCCATACAGTGGAATGTTTTCCGATGTAATGTTTTTCACACAGTGAAATGTTTTTTTCATACAGTGGAAACATAAATTATACCAGCATGACATATGAAGCCTTTGATCGATAGAATGTCAAGAGCTTTTGGCATCATTCACTGACACAAAACTTATTCTCACACTCAAGATTATTCGGCAAAAATCATCAGCCCACGGAGAAGGTGCAGCTTCACGAGCACTTCAACAGTCCCCACTTGTTGTACACGCCGGGAAAACTCGACGAATTCCTGCGAGGTCTGGCCAAGCAGCCCATCCAGAAGTTCGATAATTTCGTCACAGAAGATCTCACCAACAGACTTTTCCAGGTGCCCGAAAATTTGTCCCAGTTAACTCCAAAAAGTGTTAACCCAATTACCCTTCGGGTTAACCCTTAGGTGCCACGGTAAACTCAATATGAAAGTCCACAAAATACGACAGAAAAATATTGTAATGTTTTTAAATCGCATATCATAGAAATATATCTTGAGGGACATTTCTTAACTTATTCAAATGCGATCGATCGGTACCTATTTATGTCAGACATAAAATGCACAGTTAAATTTACTATTTTCTAACACGATGTACAAATTAAGCCTTGCCCCCTGATGTAAATTGAAGTTTTTGGACTTTTCTTGACAAATTAACAAGTTAGTTGTACATTTATCCCATGATTACGAGTTGATTATTTAATTTTACAAACAATACCTTTCCCCACAAGGGCATGAACAATCCCTTCGGGATGGACTTGGTAGCCCTGAACATCCAGCGCGGTCGCGATCACGGCATCCCGCCCTACAACGCGCTGAGGGAAGCCTGCGGGCTGCCCAGGGCCAGGAGCTTCGAAGATTTGCTCGATGTCATGCCTGGTCCTGTGAGTTTAGGTCCATCAAAGGAATGACGTTGAAACAACGTTTAAATAACGTTTATTCAAGAAAAACACGTTGAATTCAGCGTCAGATATCGGATGGGAAAGTCTTCATATACTTGAATTTGTTTTTTACACGGAATCTGATGCCGCACGATATTAAATCAAGCCTAATTTTTACAATATACTGTATATCATACACTGTAAGTGACTTTTTGTATTTCTCTTGCGGTGGTGAAGAATTAGGTAGTTTACTATTTTGCAATAAACATACATTGGGTCCACCCAATTTTCTAGCTAGCTCTTAGTTTTTCACTTAGACTCATACGCCAAAGATTTTAGCTCATGAATCATATGCCTGTGATTCTGGACTTCTTTGTGATTCAATATTCAACTCTTCTCTGTGACTCATGCCCTAGTTTTTTATCTTTTGACTCAAGTTGCAAGTTTTTTCTCTGGCTCTTTTCACAGGTTTTTCTTCTTCTTTTAAGTCATACTCCCAGTTTTTTCTTCTTCTTATGATTTATCCTGCCAATTTTTCCCTCCGTCTCATGTTCTAAGTTTTGTTCCATGTGTTCAGGTGGTCCAGAGGCTGAGCGGCGTGTACGATTCCGTGGACGACATCGATCTCTTCATCGCGGGCATCGCCGAGCGACCGGTGCCGGGCGCCGTACTCGGGCCTACTTTCAAGTGATACGCGTTCAAATGTTTTATCTATTAATAATTTCATATATTTGAAAATATTATATTTTTATTTTATGAAGAATGCATCAACGGTTGTAAAGAATTCAAACTTTTATTTCTAATACATGTATTTCATTGTTGAAAATGACAACAGTTCGCAACAGTAAAAAAATTAGTCGCATTCTTAGCAAGGAAAATTTTCAAGTCCTGATGGTCGAACAAAACATTAATTTTTACCTAACTTTAATTAATAGTGAACAGAACAATTTAGATGCTGCACATTGCATAATTTTTAATCTTCTACCAACATCAATGCAATGACTTTTTCTCTTTTTTCGGTCACTTAATCGACAATATTTTATGAGAAATATTTTGTTAGACGTGAGTGGAGAATCCTGAATTAATGTCTCTCTTACCGCTTGTTGGATGAGTAATAGTGCAGTATTTTAATATTATTTCCTGTATTTAGATGCATCGTCGCCGACCAATTCATGCGGCTGCGCAGAGGTGATCGCTTCTTCTACGAACACGGCGGTCTGCCGAACTCCTTCACTGAAGGTAACATAATAATAATCCAAAAATCTGGGAGACAAGTTGTATGCCTAGGTCGATGGTTGGGCTAGCATAATTCAAATTAGCAAAGTTTTCTGTAAGAATTTCGTTTGAAATAGTTTACCGAAGTGATCATTTCATGAAGCGTGAAAAAAACTTTGTTTACCCCTACAAATCCATAACCTGAAGAAAATCTATTTTTACGTTGTCGTATTATGTGATGTTGTCGTTTAATGTTGCCTAATGTTTTGTCTATTTACTTTTTATGATCCCATGAAATTTATTATCGTGAAATTTACTTTCGGTTAACAAAAATCTAATTAGAGGAACTCAAACCATGCGAATAACGTTTTTTCTGCGTTATTCTACATGTGCGACGTATTTCGGATTGAAATAGAACAAATAACTGACACGTGCGTTACAATTAACAGCCCAGCTACGGGAGATCAAGCAGACGTCTTGGGCGCGCATCATGTGCGACAACGGCGACCACATCAAGGCGGTCCAGCCCCTCGCTATGCGCTTGCCAGGAAAACTGTAAGTTTTCTTCAAATTATAATAACAAAATGAGTTTTCCTGATGATATTTTTTGAAGCTACTTAGTTTGCTATTCTCAGCAACTTCATGAGATACTATGACAACGACTTAACTCTAACGTGTAAATTCTCCACTTTATAAACCATAATGATTGTATTAGCCATAACAGTACCGGATACACATCTAGTCGTTTACTTACATAAATGAAAAATGTTTCAAGCGCGTACTTTTCATAAGCTATATTCATGGCTTTTGGGTATTATATAAATGTAGAACGCAGCCTTAATTTCCAACGATGAAGTGATTCCCCTTTACGAGAGTAGACAGTTTAATTGATTCATTTCATTTCCATGCACATGTGGCTAATAAATTATGTTTAATACTCAAGGAACATGAAGGTGCCTTGCGACAGCGCGTCTATACCCAAGCTGGACCTGACACCTTGGATCAGCGTGCCGTACTAAGTAAAGGGGCACCAAATTATACGTATTTTTCTCTAAAGTCAATGTAAAACCGGTATATATCACTCAAGAAATCACGTCACTCATACCCTTATTGCAACAATCTTCTACTATTTCATCTTAATAAGCTTGACCTACACTAAAAGTATAATTTGAATGCAAATCTAATTTCACTCAGCAACTTTTCTTTCACAAGCTTGGCCCAATATATGCAATATTTTCAATAAATATTGACTTTTTACGCATATGCTCGTTGGCGTTTACAAGATCCACATCCTGAGTAAATAATCAACATTACCTGTAGCGCCGTATTTTATTAAGTTTAAACGTTATTGAAATAGCAAAGCAATTCTGCTTCCGTGGAAACTCAGTACTTGTCTCCGTTCATATTGATCGCAGATAAATCGAAAAAAAAATCATAGGAAATTGATCGAAGGGAAATAACAAAAATTATTTTTTTAAGTGCATGTAAATTCTTTTTGACTCCGATATTGCATACAAGTCATTTCTTCATTTATGCAGAGCCACAACTATATAAATAAATGTTTTACTGTCGATTGTTATGAATTACCTTATATACATAGTGGATAGTTGAATGTTTACGAGTTTTACTAGAAACTTAGAATAAATAAGCTGCTAAAGATAAACTCGTACATAGGAAGTGAAACATAGTCAGTAGGTATATTTTACTAATAAATGTCAATACTAAGTAATAATTTAAATAAATATATAGTAAGAGTGTCTGAATGCATAACGAGAACAAACAAAATCTCGGTTTCACAACGAAATGTCTCTCCTCAACTTACGACCTAAACAAGGCCCGGAACAAGATTTTATCTTAATTGATAAACTTAGTTCATGTATAATTGATCAATTGATCTCTATTACCATCACAAGTTTTTCTTCAGTGATATTTAAGAATATTTAGAATCTACACGCTCAACGAGGTGCAAGCGTATCACGGATGTTCATAAATAAATTACTACCGGAATTTCAAGACTTTAAAGATCGGCAAGATTTATGAAAAATCGAGAAGTTCAAATTACGGTAGCTTGCAAGCTTCGAGACAAGGGTGGAGGTTATACATCATCAGGAAGAAACTGGTAGTCATTCGTTAAGGCAACATCGTACTCGATACAAGAATGGATATGTGATATGTTTCAAAATAATACCGTACATTAAACATAATTGTAGATCCAAATAGGATCTATAAACGAACTATCTCGGATTTGTAAATCTCGAAAATAGTTTAGATTCACAATATGAAGCTATCACTTTCAATAGACGACATTATAAGTATTAACATGCCAACTATACTATAATTGGTATTATATCAAGAGTCATTAAATCATTTCAATAATTAAGGTCCGCTTAAGGTAATGTACTTGATAAGCTCGAAAAACATTTCTCGTCGACTATATTCTAAAAAATGTTGTTCTTGATTTAAAATGAAATTTACGACTACTGAGCCTTCATAAAGCTGTCCTTGACAGAAAAAACAATCTAACACTCAGGGTGAAGCTTTAACATGGCAGTACTCTAAATAAATTTCATTTGTGGTACTTTCGGAAATGTTGTGAAGAAACACCAATTTTATAACGTCTATCGTAATAAATTAGGTGATAAAAATTTAATTTTAGAGGTGGTCTCTTAACAGCTTGAGACGAACCACGGTATTTATGACTGCTGAAAATTATAAAACTAGAGCGCTAACAGTTTTAGTGAAGTTAACAGGTAATAAATAATAAAATATAGGTGAGCCTAATAGTCGGCTATACACAGTCCATCTTCATCAATCCTGCATCTAGAATTAAATTAAAACGCATACGTCACGCACGCACACCGAATCGTTGGCACTAGTCAAATAACAGCAGTAAAAATAAATTACCTCTAATGGCAATTTCATTGAAGAAAATCAGTAACGGTAATTGGAATCATCAAATTTACGCTGTAATTGATTAATTATAAAATTGACAAATGACAAAACGTGATCAAAAAGTTGAAAATGGGCGAACATATTTCCTTACAAATTAACTTGCTGCTTTCAATTTAACAGCAGTATCCCCACATGAGCCCAATTCAATTGATAGCTGTAGCATCTTTTCATGGGATTCCAGCTGTGAATATAAAACTGAGTTTATGATCATTCAGCTTCGGAATTAAGAAGCTTCCGGGAAATCGGTTCCGCGGTCTGGAACACCACCGGCCAAAACAGGAAAAAAATGTACACCTCGTAGTGTATTTCTTACTCCCTGGATAGGGTCGTTAAATCGAAAGATGGGCCTTATTTAATTGTTCCAGCGAACTATTCAATCTCCTCATAAATCTTCTGACAAAAATAAATGTTGTTATCACGCCAGTAACGCTCTCACTGTTTCAATTTCTTCAGGCGTAAGCGAGGCAGCGAAGCTTCTTAAGGTTCGTTCCGTTAGCGACCAAGCTTTGTTGACGCCGTATGTCTTCAGACAGAAGTACGGGGACAAAACCTGTCGATAGAATAAGATTTGAAAAAAAAATTTAAGAGCACCTCATTTATTTCTACTTCATTTGCAAGAGATATTAAGCCAAGATATATATTATCTAGCAACATAATCCAAAAATATAACTCAGTACTCACGGCAGTGAGTGACAGAGAGCGCATATTCTGGTCGACGATCTTCAGGCGTAAGCGAGGCAGCGAAGCTTCTTAAGGTTCGTTCCGTTAGCGACCAAGCTTTGTTGACGCCGTATGTCTTCAGACAGAAGTACGGTGACAAAACCTGTCGATAGAATAAGATTTGAAAAAAAAATTAGGAGCACTTCATTTATTTCTACTTCATTTGCAAGAGATATTAAGCTCAGATATATTTTATCTAGCAACATAATCCAAAAATACAACTCAGTACTCACTGCAGTGAGTGACAGAGAGCGCATATTCTGGTCGACGAAAATGTGAAGTCACGGACGGACGGACATGGCGAGCACAATAGCGCTTTTTTCCATAAAAGAGAAAATGCGCTAAAAATAACAATTTAGAGATGGGGATAAGAGACGATATCAGTTTTGTTGTATCCTAACTAGCAATTCACTCACATTCGCCGCGACGGTATCGTCGACACGCCCCAGGACGCTGAGGCGAGAAATCTCCCTGATGTTTTCCACGCCGCTGTCTCCAGGGGCCTGAGTCACACAGAACGAATCTCGGTGTCTCAATAAATAAGGGATTAACTTCGTCAATTCTAGAGCATTACTCAATTTATCATGAACTTATTAGCGTTTGCGATTGTATAATTAGTGCTGAAAATTTTTTGTCGTGAATCTTATGAACATTAGTTGGTAAGCTCAACAAAAACGGGTTTCACATCAGCCGGGACGGTAGTAATGAAATAATTTTAAATTCATCTCTGATTTACATTAACTTGAATCTTTCTGCGCCCGCTAAAGCTTATCTTCAAGTATCCATTCCGTAAAAATCCTAATTTTATATTACTCGTCTATCAGTAAGTGGACCAATTTCTTCGAAATAGCATTGCTTGCCACTGAAATACGACCAATATTCATAGAGCAACCCACCTTGCCGAGTATGCTGATGAACACAGGCCGGATAATTTCAAGTATCACGTCTACAAAGTCTCTGGGCCGGACCAGCTCCGCTGCAGCGACGTCATCTTTCTTCTCATCGATGACGGGCGCGGGGGTCGTTGTAGCCTTGGTAGTCGTAGGACGGGGATTTGCTTGTCCAGGTCCACCAAGAAATAGGTTCAATAGCCTCATCCAGTCAAACGACGCCGCTGGTCGCGAAGGTGGCTTTTTCGACGGTACTCTGATCTCATCTTCGACTTTTTCTTCTATCAAGTTTTCGTTTACGATTTTATTAGGAGACGATCCTGAAATTCAACAAGAACGTAAAAGTGCGTGTCATAAGAACTCATATTGAATTTTACTGCCTATAATTCGATTAATTAACCGGCAAGCAATTCAAGCACAGCTCCTGCTGTAGGAACCCAATGATACTAATATATACCCTTAAGAGTATGTTAGATACCTTTAATTGATTTCAACCATACTGAATTGTTCCCCCCCCCCAAAAAAAAAAAGTTAAAAACATAGCTAATTCTTATTTTCGGACAGCATATTCTCTCAAAAAATATAGTTAGAATGTTTATATAGCCCATTAAGATTACTGGTAAATCTGCAAAATCTAACAGTGATCACATTTGATGTTTAATAAATTATCTGTTTTAAATTTTGCAGCGAATTTAACTTTAGGTTTTAATCTACGAGGGCGCAACACAAAAAACACCGCAAAGTGAATTATGCTGAATTACAAACCGAATCCGCACGTATAATGAATAACATGACACGACGAATAAAATAATGTATGCACTCATATTCCGTCGCAAAGATAATAATGCACACGTTCCAAATTCATAGGAAGGCGATGTTGGTTATAACAGTTACCGGTCAACGTGTTGAAGTAAATTCCCATGTACTGGCGCACGAGGTTCAATAAGATGGTGCTTATGGGTGAAGGTTCAGCGTCATCTCCAGCTTCGGTAATCGCGTCATCCAGTGATGGTGGATCAGGAATCGATGGCTTTGATGACTTCAACTTATCTTTCTTCTCGGAAATTTTGTGGCTGTCGCCAGGCTTCGGTTTGCGGGTTTGAATCTGCAGAAGACCTTCATGATTACTAGGGAATGCATAAAGATACATCAAAATATTGCAAAAACCATTTAAATTTATCGTTATTTAACCAAAGAAAAAACTATACTATAATGAGTCGACACCATGAAAACTAAATCATTCAAAACTATTCGTTAGATAATGATTTCTATAATCTGCTTATTCCGATCAATTAGCATGCTGTTATCATCGTGCAGCCACAAGCAAGGTATATAGATCGCATATTATTCATGATTAAATATAATCATACATTCATTGTTCGGAAAATTGGCATTTTTTACAACATTGTTTGGTTTTAGTTACTTACAGGAAAGTACCACTAGTAACCCTATCTGACGAAAAAGCTCAATTAACAAGTTACACCATCACACAATTATGTTATTAGTTAGTATTCTCACATGCTACTACGTTAGGGAAAAATAGGTGCTAGTGGGGAATAATGAGGTCATAATAAGCTGTACCCCAACAACATTAAAACAATAATAATTAAGAAACTTGTCACCTAAGTTACAATACAACCTTCTCACTCACTAATAAAAAACAGCTGAACTATTATTATCCAATTGGTGCGAATTTCTCCTGTACTAAATGAACTTTTAAACAGAACCTTCCATTACTACCCTCATTATTTATCAAAAGCTAATTATTTGTGGCCACTCAATGGCTGACGGTTAAAATTTATCAATGACTATTCCCAAATATTGGCAAAATTAGAAAGCATTCTTTTATACGTTAATTAAGATTTTCGGTGGACGACATATTGTCATTTCTATTTACTTCGATGCAGATCAATCACGTGCATTTTAGAGTTTAATTCAAAACTTCCAGTATAAAAGCAATTATCCTTGTAATGACATGAAAACCATTGATAAATTAAAAGTAATTAACGTGAAAAGTATTTTTCTCATGTAGAATCGATAACAGACTATCAGCCACTCAATGTCCACAGGCAAGGTTAAATTTTCCCTGCTAAGAAGAGCGCAGTCTCGCCTTCTCGAGGTAGGGTCCGAGCACGGAAGACACGAGCGTATGCACAGCTTGTTGTGGGTCTTCGGCTGCATAGACGCGCGTGACGACAGGCAGTAGCTGTCTTATGACGACTGCATAGCGTTTGGTGCTCTCCGACTGATCTAACATGTTCACCAGACTCCCAACCAATGACTGAACAGGGAGAACATGAACTCGGGTTAGAATGAATACTATGTTGGGTAAATGCACCTGGAGTAAAAGTGGGCCTCATTATTCAAATAATGTATTTGAAATAGCATGCAAAGTGAAGGGATCAGTTTTTGGCTTCAATTTCAACATTAATTGAAGACGAAATGGTATGTATGTAAATGCAAGCAGCTCTCATTAAATGCGATTTTCTGTAGAGAATTCTTAGCTGAAGGCCACTGACTTCACAATAATAAAGTTATAATAATTTAACAAAAGAAAATCCACCCATTATTGTGGATTGTATATTGTGCATTGAATATATCAATCAATTTAAATGAGATGGAAAACTTTTCAGCAATTATTATTACTCAAATCGAGCATTGGGATGTATTTAAATAACAATTTCAGGTAATTATTGCACCGGCTTATCATACATTTACTGTTTACCGTAGAACCTTCACCTTACATTCACTGTACGTGGTTATTTTTGCAATGTTCCTCAAGTGAGGAGTCTGCCAGACTAATAAATGAATGTGAAAATGTACTTCAAGTGCAGCAGAGAAGAAGTTGTAGACTTTAATTTAGTCTAGTTATGTGGTACTACATTGTAATTTCCTGATCCATCTAGCAACTGTTCATCGCTACAATTACCAACAACACAACTGTTGTCAGTGAACGGGTGAGTATCTGTGCATGGTATGGGTTAAGCGTGTGCAGTGTTTTCTAATTTGTTTGCATTTATTTTTCTATTATTCTCGAGGGTTTAATTCATGCATTGGGAAGCTAGTAACCAAAAAATAACCTGGGTTTTGTTACAGGGACGTGATAATTGGGACGATAAATTGCAGTGAATCTAGTAGGTGACAAAAAGGATTGAAAGGGACGATACAAAATTTGAAGCAAGCAAAATTTGCATTAACACAGCAGGATTAAAACATGTTATTTGTATACTTTGTACACGAATCAATCGTTTTATCAACAATAGGGAATTTAGATATTTCAAACCTTGATGGTCTCGATCTGAGCTTTCTTCGACTCTCCACTGGAATATTTTGTGTTCCTGTAATCTTCATCCGGCGCAGAATTTACGGCCGCGTCCACCTCTTCACCATCCAGTGAAAAGCTCAAGTCTGGGTCGTCGCTCACGGATCGTTTAGAGCGCATAAACGCCTCAAAGGGGTTCTCGCCTTTGGTGAAGATGGAGTAGGTCGTATACTCCATGTAGCACTGGCCCATGCCTACCTCGTCTCGGTAGTCCTGCACATAGATATCCAGGATATTTTTCAAAAATAGTTTCAGAATATTTTTCGTTCAGGAAAAAATTCATTTAGGATAAATTCATCTTATTTCAGATTGTCAATAAAGGAGCACAATTTGAATCTGCGTAGTTTAAAAACGTATAGAAAGGTGAAATTTGAATTTCATAAGTGAAATACTCAAGAATAAAATAAATCCAAGCTAAAAATGATCTAATATATTACAACCAAGATATATTTTCACCTTGACGGCGTGTCTGAGTCTCTGAGGTAGGGAGAAGATATCGAAGCCTTGCACCATCTCTCCAAGGCTGTTGTACCCGAAGATGTTCAGTACATACTTCAGCCATGACCGTTCAGCGCCACCACTCAAGATCTGAACAAGGGTACAAATTTTAGATTTGTATTCCATATTGAAATATAAGTGTTGTTGCCAAAGCAATTTGGAAACAAATTGTAAGAACTTTGGAAGTACATAATTATTAATTAAAACCATAGGAGCTTTAATTGGGACTAAACAATTAAATACATTACTTCGAAGCAGTATTTCAGTACCTAATTATGATATTAATTTCGAAAATATTTCCTCTCGCAACGAATATGGAAATTCAATAAAAAAGTAGGAATTTTTTTAATGAAAGAATATTTTTCGAGGAACAGTGTATTGTTCCTCGTTGAAAATAGGCTTACGTCATTATCTAGCTTCTCAGGCTTAGTCGATCCCTCTATCTCGTTGTTCTCTGCGTCGTCGGGGCTTTTTTCCAGGTCTAAGCCGCGGTCTTCAATGCCCAAGTCTTGCCCATACCCATTACGTTGGGTGAAAAGCTCGTCAGGGATGGAATCGCACCTAGAAAAATAGAAGTAAATCCTCATCATGAGCCTATTAAAATGAATTTATAATTTTAGTAACAGCCCACAATGTCTTAAGGGCTGCAATTCATCGGTCACAAAATTACTACCATGATATTCAATAGCAATTTCAAACACAAAAACTCGTACCGTTTGTTCGAGAGACAGTAAAATTGCAGGAAGGAACACACCATTCTAATTGTATTTCTAAATTCATTAGCCATTATCATGCAAGTACTTTATTTACTCCCGGAATCCTTCACTCACCACGCAGGTGCGCCCGTCTCAGGATGGCAGCAAACGTGCATGAAAGACGGCAGCGGCAGCGGCGACCACTGCTCCCCGCAGGCCTGGTAGAAGGTGGCGGTGGCAGCGGGCAGCAGCGTGCACGGGGTGGCCGATGAAGGAGGATACATGTACAAGGCTTCGGGGTGAAGTTGGAACACGCGCGTCACGCTCGTGTTCTGCAACACAATACAATGATGAATTTTGACCATAAAATCTTTCCTTTGCAGCCTGCAGATGTATCGATGAAGTGGTGACCCTCAAAGTAGTAATTGATAGGAACAATATTGAATAATTTTGCAACTCACATATTATTATAATAATAAAGATAGAATTTTTTTGGAACATTGTGACCCAAAGAGTCGATTTGCAACAAAACTTACAAAAATAACAAACCAGCAAAAAATTAACCATCTGATTGACCGATAAAATTTTGTTTATTTTTTTATTTTAACCTCTAAATAAAAAAACAGCATAATTACCTCTTCCTGACACGCCTTTCGGCAATCTTCATGAGCTTCACTGGGCAAGGAACAGTTGACAGGATATTGCTCGCCTGTGGCGAAGACTTTGTGTTGCGGCAGCCACTCAGAATTCGTTACCAGGAACATTGCACACTGACATCCGTGCTTGGCCTCGTAGGAATAATACTCGCTAGACTGAAGTATTGAACCGTAACCCAAGGGTTCAGTAAAGAGTCGAGGAGATTCATGTCCTTTTAGCTGGTATTTTGTGTCGTCTTGGGATGAGGGACTGGAATCGAGAGAGGTCGGACTTGCGCTACTCGCTAGCCAGCTAGATGCTAAAAGTAAGGAATATATAATTCTATAAATCATGGCTGCTGTAGTTTCACGGCAGCGACGGATTACTACGAATTATCGCTAATTTGATGTATGTTATCAGACAGGTTTCTTGAAATGAGTAAGATGGCTGATCACGTCCGATCATCTGTAAAGAAACATTTTTAGTTATTCGACGATATTTTTGAACACAAATTAACATATTTGCAAAAACATTTTCAAATTAGGAACCATTAATGCAAATTTCCGAAACAAAGTCCGATCAGAGTTCAAATTATTTTTAATGCAATATGCATGGGGCCGTGCTACGTATATATATACCTCTATCATGCTGCATTGCATAGTTATTCATATTTCTACATTGTATTGAATTAAAAAATATTGTGTCAGGGGCAAAAGGTCAGCGGCACTAAATATTTTAGCTTATCTCGACCCACGCTAGAAACTCTCACATGGGGCCGTGCTATATCCCTGTCATGCGGAATTGCATAGATATTCATATTTCTACATTGTATATAACTAAAAAATATTGTGTCAGGGGCAAAAGAACAGCGGCACTAAATATTTTAGCTGATCTCGACACACGCTAGAAACTCTCCATAACATGTCCAGTTGAGAGTAAAAGAAAGAATTAAATCATGTAGGATAGCGAAATTCGGACAAACAAAAGGAACAAGATTTATGAAGCACGTGATAGTTTAAAGAAAGGCATCGTGAGTTGCATAGTGCGGTAAGACGAGGCAGAAAACCAAGAAGATTTACAACCTCATCACATGCGACGGACGAAAACGAAAGTGGAGGAGCGCCAGAGAAAGTCGACAGAACGAGATTTGTAGCCTAAATGCCTCCTGCCATCTGATTGACCAGACGACAGACGGCAAATTGTTGCAACATCTGCGACCACTCTAGAAATTTCAACATTAGAGACAAGTGTAGTATTTGTAACCTCTGCAATTCAACATGCAACAGAAATATTTTCAAACTTTGCATTTACCATCATTCGCATCGACGACAGTCAAAATGACTGCAAATCAACTTGACAAGTATGACCTTGCAGCGCCTCTTGCAGACATTCTCGCCACTTACGAAAGAATCACGAAAACGATAATGCCAAGCTATCTTCATCAATTTCTGTGAATTACTGCATTGCGATTTTTTGTAATTATGTTGAATTGTTGCCACAAGATAATTTTAATTTTACTAAATAACCTATATGTTAATATGTTTTAGTCTGGTAAAATAGGCTCAACGATCACAAGCCACAACGATCGAGAAGAATTTAGCTGCCATGCAATGACGCTCAAGCAAACTTCTCCATCAATAAAAATGACAATAACGAGTACAAGTACAGTATTCTAGCCATGCTGCATACGAAGCACAGCCATGTTATAGTCATTTTAAAACCAAGAACTGTCAAGCTAAGGTGAAATTTCAGGCCCGTTAATGATCACTTAGCTGGGACCGCCGAAAGGGAAGCGTTTCCACGAAGTCTAAAATTTCCATTATTTTCTTTGTTAAACTCGTGACGATTTATTAGGACTATGGCGGTTGTTTCGTTTTGTTACGGCAACCCGTAACTAGTTCTTAATAATGCGCAAACCAATGCAGGAGAACGTGGATCTGTATTCGCTTAATAATTGGTTCAGTATAATACTCAGACTTTTACAAGCAAAATATTGTGATTTTATGTTCATTGCTCAAAGTGTAGAGCATTCCCTATCTTCGGCAATTTAATAAGTATATTGTAGAGTTGAAGATCAATATTTCTCTTTTGATTCACCAAGTACATATATACAGGTCACCAAGCTTTGGACGATTTCAACGTTTTTTTCGTATTTAACTGGTAACGTGAGCGCAATTTAAATAATTTATCTTTAAATAAAAATTTGTTGATGTTTGATGCACCTTCAATCAAATATACAAATGGCATTGCTAAGAAGAATAAATTGCATACCGTTTATATATTCGTAAACTAAAAGCTAATAATGATCGTGTTCGTGGCCATCAAGCTCGACGATCGCCACCATGACGCAGCAAACGCACGCTACGCAGAAGATGGTCATCATCACTTTCCTTGACTGCCTCTCCACTTTCTTCCAATTCCCGTTGTTGCACTCTAGCCCGGACTCGCATGTTTGGCGTTCAGGTAGGTAAGCCCACAAAAAAATAACAACTTGGTGACACGAGAAGTCTGCTGGAGATGCAATTCGCGACGGCAGTTTTCCGGCGCGTTCAAAATTTTAGCCGTGAAGCTGCGAGACAAACTGGGAGAAACGCATCTCTCAGACAGGCGTATGAATACAACTGATGAATATTTTTAGCGCATTTTCTCATTTATGGAAAAAATGCCCTATTGTGCTCTCGTCATGTCCGTCCGTCTGTCCGTGACTTCCCGTTTTCGTCCACGAGAAAATGCTCTCTCTGTGCTATCTAAAAACGAGAAAAAAATGCTCTCTACTCACTGCAGTGAGTATTGAGTTATATTTTTTCACTCTATCGATCTTCAAAGCTCTAGGCTGCAGCTAAGAATATTGTAAAAAGAATATTTGCAGGCTATTCAATTTAAGTGCAATGTTCCAATGAGTAACAGATCAAAAAAAAATTCAGGATAAGTTTAGACAGTTTTAGCTGGAAAATTTTCGCCGACATATAATTCAATAAAAACTTCAACAAATTGATAGGAACCTCATTATTATTGTCCTCTTATTCCATAGCAATGATTGAAAAATTCACTGGTTCACTATTTCACTGAATTAAAAGATCCGTGTAGGAGGCAAAAATTATGAATTTCGATTGTTAATCCCCGAGTTGAGCGAAATTCATGCTACGACGTTTTCGCACTAGACTTTCCCGTTATTTTAAATTCTGAAAATGTCATCAATCTTCATAATCTATTTTATTCGTTCATTTTACTGGCTGCTTGAAACAAGCAAGTCAGTTCCCTGCAGCCACGACGGGTAGCAAGGTTGAGACTCCGCGTGAATGAAGCACGTCGGTCGGATGCATGGTAGGCCACAAGAAGGCAATCATGCTCTTAGCAAAGAAATAATCTTGGTTCAAATAACTACACGTGCTTCTTCCGATCCGCTAACTCAGGCGTGACCGGGATCCGAATTATGATTGTTCCGAGTGTAATCATTTACGAAATAAAGCACGACTAAAATTTTTTAACTTATGGTCACAGCGACACAATAAAGTATTCATTTTCCATCGAATTTCTGTCATGTCATTTGGAACCCAGACTGAAATCTGATTTATGGTGAATTTCACTTGGTAAAGAATGGCGCTGTAATGCAGGTCTGAGTAATTCTACGAGGACGCAACTATAATCGAAATTCCAAATTGTTCTCAAAATAAATCATCGATACGTTGATAGGAGCAACTTCAAGCTTGAAAGGAGAGATGGCTCAGAATATAAAAAAATGCAGAAGTTGAATTTTCCGCTTCAATCCGAAAGTGTACAATTTACAATAATGCACATGCCACAAACATAACTTCTCGTATAATTTTTTTGAAACGAATTAATAAGAACCAGACGGGCGAAAATTAAACTCGCTGAAACTGGGATTCGATCGATTACGTGAAAAAAATTATTTTTAACGGTTATCGAGACGTGGCCAGCTCTACCTAGCCTAACAGAGGAAACATTTAGGCTAAACCATTTTTATTTTATGGTCAAAAACCAAAAATATATAAAATTTTTGTCTCACAAAAACAGCCGAAAACTCTGAACTTCTCAGAATGATCTGATCTGACGATCTTATGAGTCGCGATCGACCGATACGAAAATCCGCACGTGATAACAACGAAGAAAATATTTCAGACCGGCGTCCAACTTTCGCTGCACAAGCTGGCACCGAGAATATATGAATGCAATATGTTTTTCTTCATAATCGAAACCTGAGATCGATAGAAACTACTCAATGATGAATGCGTGAAGTGGAAATTCTTCTATGATGGCAATTACACACAACATCTGCGTTGCTCTATAAAGCAGAGATTCATTGCTTAGTCAGAGGTTTCAGCAATTGCGACGGCACTTGTTTTGAGAATAAATAAGCCTCTTGAGAAAAGGAACACGATTCTACTCTCCGATGCTGATAAACACACGATAAATTATGCGAAACAATCGAGTTGCAAGGCTAGCGTGATTGTCTATTAAACGTTACAAACAGCAAACCGATCTTTGAATACATATTTGTGCGGCAATTAAATAAGAGGCTGTTTGCATTTGACTAGCACTGAAATTAGAGAATTTATTGTATGAGAACAAATTGAAATAAAACTGATTGTTCATTATTCATAGAGGCGACCAGAGCTTAGCGATTCCACATCATTAATTGATAATATTTATCATTCACAGAATGCTGAACTTGTATTCGTAAATCGAGTGATCCTCTATAATTAATTATCAAGTAAGCAAGTTTACTCCGAAGAAAATGTCGAAATAATTATTAGCGTTCCAATACTGTAGGTCGTACACCTAAACATGATTGAACTTTTCCAGCAGCCCATTGCAGACAACCACATTACCTGAGTGAACGACAGACGGACAGAGTTTCTAAAGCTGTTATCCTACATAACCAGCCGTGCATAAGCAAGCCGCTGATATGTTGTAGCAAATGTAGGCAGTAAGTAAGCTACCGCATCTACGCTATTTGATTTTGCACGTTTGCAGTTCATGCTTAATGCAAGCAAAATTTGAATGTATTTTTTTCGCATTAGCGAAGCAGTAAAAAACAATAATATACGTTTAAAAATTACATTTTAAAGACAACACTTCTAAAGAATCCAGTGTCTCCAATGCTAAAAATGTACAATGAATTTCTCATTTCATTTTCGAATATTGAAAAAATTAATTTTTCAATTTCTTTAATTTATAATTTTTTTTAATTATTTATTCTGTCAATTGATTCATGCATTGCCTGCGATTTTACACAAGTGTGCAAAATTTCAGATCAATTGGACAGGTAAAAGTGTGTCGAGTATCAATTATAAGATTTGTAGCTGACAAAATTCTTTTTTAAATTTTTTAATATCGAAAAAAACTTATTTTTAAAATCATTTATTTTGTCATTTGATTCTTGCATTGTCTCCAACTTTACGCAAGTGTGCAAAATTTCAGATCGATAGGATAAGTAGAAGTGTG